AATTAGGAATTTTGAGTACTACATAATGGTAGTGAGGTGTGGGTGTCTGTCTCCAGCTCTGTGGCAACATTCTAGCCGCCAAGACAGATGCTTGTGTAGTGCATAAGTGAGTGGCTTGTACCACTGGGTGTCTCTCTTTTTAGGGGTGGTTCCATAACTTCTCCTCCTGCCTCTAAACCCACATGCACATGATCCAGCATCATGACCCTTTGGGCATGGAGAATGGTGTTTTGTAATGTTAACAGATGATCCAGCATCTAATTCTCTGATACATCCCAATAAAAAGCAGGTTTTCCACTGGTCCTGGCCCCTAATAACCTCAAAAGGAATGATGCCTCTCCTTTCCCACCACAGGATTCACAGGATTTCTTCTCTTCTGAAGAAACTCTTCTCAGAATAAGAGGTGGATGTTCCCAGCCTTGCCAGTATTTGAGTGATATGAATGTGGGCATCTTCCTCTCACTGCTTGTTGAGTGAAGAATTAGAAAGACAGCTCTTTATGCTTCTGTGTGTTTGCAGAGCCTCTCTCCCAGCATCCCTTTTGGCAGTACAGGTGGTACCTCCCTAAACTGGGACTCTCTGGTCTGGCCGGACCACAGATGTTCTTGGACGGGGGAGCCCTGGGACAGGGGGTTCTGGAAGCGTGGGGCACTGGCCAGAGCCAGCAGCACAGCCAACTGGAGGAGGGGTCAGAAACAAAGCCAGTGGCAGCAGCAGACCTCTCCTGGTCCAGCAAATTCCTTCACCTGTAGTGTTTATGGCTTTCCTGATGACAGACATGTTAGTGCACACAGCAAATGCCCTGCAACCAATCAACTTCAGGAATAAAGAATTGATGAGTGGCATTAAGTTGAGGAAGGGAGAAGGCTTAGCCCATGGATTTGCATTGTGTGTGTATGGTCCTTGTTATGGATCTTAATTGCCACGATCCAGTCTGAATGTTGCCCTTCTCTTTAACTCCCTTTTTCCACAGGAAATGAGCGTGGGGTATGCAAATGGGATCCGTGTGATGAGCATGACGCATACAGGAGAACCTGGATTCATGCTCTACATCCCTATAGAGGTAGAGTGGTTTATAAGCTTCCGCCAGTCCATGCAGTCCCACACAAGGATGTACAGGCGTCTTCCTTGCCTGTGCTGGGTATAGTTAACTGTGACCCTTTGGGTATGGAGAATGGTGTTTTGTAATGTGAAGTGTACCAGTGCCTTTGGCTAGGAGAGCTGAATTCTGCAAGTGAAATTAATGCTGTCTTGCGTTCAGTCAAGTGGGTTTGCTTGCTAGAGTCCACGCTTAGCCATGTGTGTCCATGGTAAGCTTACCAGGGCGAACTTAGTTATTTTCTGTCCTTGGAGCCCAAATCATACTGCTGTGATGCTTCTAAGGCATGTAACAGGTCAAATACAGTGGTGTAATCTTGGGATCTCAGTGCAAGGTCATTGCTTTATGAAACTTTGGGACAGAAAGAGGTGGGGGAAGGGAGGCTACAGCATATTCAGCCAAGATGATAGGAATGGAATGTTGTTCAAAGGTAATTGTGGGGAGAACGGGCCATGCAATAGAAATAATAGCTGGGAGGTTTAAAGACAAATAAATGAAATGCCACTTCCTATAGCATAGAGTAAGGCTGCGGAACAGGGGTGAGGAACCTACATTCCACGAACTGGATCTGGTCCCTGAGGTTCAGGGCTCCATCCCTCTCAGCCTAGGAGAGCCGGTTCTTCCTGTGGGCAGATGGGCCTAGAGTCAGGCATGCCAGGAGCAGATCCGGCCCACAGGCTCTGCCTGGCAAGTGGAGGAAGCAGCTCTGCGCACTGCCGCTCTCCCTTCCCCCAGCTGGAGAAACGGCTGCTCAGGAAAGCCCTCATCTGGGGGCTTTTCCCCACTGCTCCAACTGGCAATAATCAGGGCCAATGGGAGCAGAGGGGAGGTGGTGCCTGGGAGCGGCAGGGGACATGGAGCTGTGTCCCCTCCCCCAGAGAGCTGTGCAGGTAAGCACCCCCCATTGCCCAGACCCTGCATCCACAACCTGCTCCTGCACCCTCCTTCCCAGACCCCACACCAAAGCCGGCTTCCCCACAGCCCTCTCCCACACGCTGAACTCCTCCTTTTTGGCCCTGTCTGAGAACTTTTTGGCCCTGTCTGAGAACCTAGAGGGCCCCACAAAATCTACTTGCCTGGGCCCCCCTAGGCTTTGGGGCTGGTGTGGTGGAGGGGAGTGTCTTTATTTTCTGCTTCTCAGTTGGGAGCCATGTCAGTGAGGGTCTTTTCTCTTTTGTGTAATCCCCAATTGATTTTTCTGTGGGTCAATGGCCCTTAACCTAAAAAAAGGTTCCCCACTCCTGCTGAGGAAGACACGGATGTGGAGGTTCAATGTCCTGTACTATGGCTGGATTTTTAAAGAAGGCTGCATGATTGTATGTCCATTTGTAGTAACTCAGGGTATGTCTAGACTACATGCCTCTGCCGGTAGAAGCATGTAAATTAGACTACCCGACATAGTCAATGAAGCAGGGATTTAAATACCCCCCGCTTCATTAAAATAAAAATGGCCGCCATGTTGTGCCAGCTCAGCTGATTGTTGGCACAACATGGCAGTCAAGATGCAGATCGGTTGGCAAGGAAAGCCTTTGCTGACCGATCCCTTATGCCTTGTGAAGCGATGTTTACGGGATTGGTTGGCAAAGGGTTTCCTTGGCAACCGATCCGCGTCTTGACTGCTGTGTTGTGCTGACGATCAACTGAGCCAGCACAATGCGGTGGCCATTTTTATTTTAATAAAGCAGGGGATATTTAAATCCCTGCTTCATTGACTGTCGGGTAGTCTAATGTACATGCCTCTGTCAGCAGAGGCATGTAGTCTAGATGTACCCTTAGAGTAATCAAATCTCTGTCTTTACTAGTGAGCTGATCTCTGCAAGGGTCAGGAGGGAGTATCAAATCTCTGTCTTTACTGGTGAGCTGATCTCTGCAAGGGTCAGGAGGGAGTTTCAGTGCTTTGTGAAGCGTTACTCAGCTGGGCAGGCACCTTATATGGCTTCCCCTTCCTGTGAAGCATTGCTTTGGAGACATGGTACTGGAGTCTGCCTCATGGTGTGACAGATTCTCTTTGTCTTCCCTGATGCTGTAATCCTGGTGTGTTGCTTCTTCCATGCAGTATGCTCTGCACGTGTACAATGAGTTGATGAGCGTTGGACAGAAGTATGGGATCCGGAACGCCGGCTACTATGCGCTCCGCAGCTTACGCATCGAAAAGTTCTTTGCGTTCTGGGGCCAGGATCTGGACACTTTCACCACCCCCTTGGAATGTGGACGTGAGTTCCGGGTGAAACTGGACAAGGTACTGTCTCTGAAGCTGGAAGCAGCTCCCTCAGCAGTGCTTGCATGAAAACAGAAGGACACATGGGAAGATGCCAGAAATCACAGAAATGCTGCACCCTCCGGCATTTAGTGCAGTAATCTCCACTGCTTTGTGCAAAGCACTAGAAGTGCAGCTCTTCCCACGTGTGTGCTTGCAGATCCTGTCTCCTTTGGCACTAGTGTTTATGGCTCTGTGCCTTTTACCTGCATGGGGACAGTGGCCATATAGGGAACTCAGCACCTTTCAGGATCGAACCCAGCGTTCAGCTTTCTCCTACCAGTCCCCCTCCCCCGCCCATCCGTCTCCTTCCTCTGAAATTAACATGGCTGCTCTGTGTGCCGAGCTTGGTTAATGATGCCAGCATGGCCCAGGGAACAGGGTTTGAGGTCAGTGCAACAGCACAGGGAGGCCCAAGAGCACCAGACCTGGTGTTGTGCAGGGATCATCCATCCATAAGTGCCCTTGCAGCAGGGGGTAGACTGAGATCAGAGTGGTGCTTTGGGTGCTGAGAAGAGGAGTAGTATTAGAATCTGGAAGATTTTTGCCTATTGCAGCAACTCTGTGGCTGCTCAAACCAGCCACTCTGTGGCTGCTAAAACGTGGGGTCTCAGTGACATGAGAGGTAGTGGAATGTCTGATTTTTATCCTGTTTGCAGGGGCCCCAGCCCACTTGGCAACGTAGTGACTCCAGGAAGCTGATCCCATTGATCTGGAGTTGCAAATTTTGACTTGCTTTTTTGTTCTTGGCTCCCTTTTGTCACTGTCTTGGTGGTATGTGCCCACCTCTCAAACCATGGGACTGGGAGAGCAGTTGCTTTCTCCAGAGAATAAATGGTGCTCTACAGCCAGGTTGGTAGGGAAGAGTGCACCTTCCCCATAGCTGTTTGGCTTTGTTTGCTTTGGGGTGTAGACCTGGGAACCCACTTCTTGAGGGCAATCTAGTGACTGGAGTAGGAATCTAAGAGTTGGGAGACCTGGTTTCTGTTCCTGATTCTGCCACTTGCTGCATGTGACTTCAGGCAAGTCGATGAACATCTGTTCCCCCTTTACTAATGTGTAAAATGGGAATAACAATCAATCTGCCCATCTTTGTGAAACACCCCGAAGACTTCTGATTGTAAGTAAAAGCTTGAGTCATTCTTTAATAGCTGTTCCTGATTTAATCCTGTTCCAAATTAGCTCATTCCTTTTGGAAAAAGACATACTTATTCTGTAATTGAAATAAGAAAGGGGTAAGCAGTGAGGTGGCAAGTACTTATTCTGTAATTGATATAAGAAAGGGGCAAGCAGTGAGGTGGCAAAGTTTGTGGACGATACTAAATTGTTCAAGATATTCAAGACCAAAGCAGGCTGTGAAGAACTTAAAAAAGATCTCACCAAACTCAGTGATTGGGCAACAATATGACAAATGAAATTCAATGTGGATAAGTATAAAGTAATGCACATTGGGGGGAAAAAATAACCCCAACTATACGTACAGTATGATGGGAGGTAATTGAACTACAACTAATCAGGAAAGTGATCTGGGAGTCCTCGTGGATGGTTCTTTGAAAACGTCCACACACTGTGCAGCGGCAGTCAAAAAAGCAAATAGGATGCTAGGAATTATTAAAAAAGGGATAGAAAATAAGACGAATATTTTACTGCCCCTATATAAAACTATAGTGCGCCCACATCTTGAATACTGCGAACAGATGCGGTCTCCTCACCTCAAAAAAGATATTTTGATATTTGAAAAGGTTCACAAAAGAGCAACTAAAATGATTACAGGTTTGGAATGGGTCCCATATGAGGAGAGGCTAAAGAGACTGGGACTTTTCAGTTTAGAAAAGAGAAAACTG